GAAATCCCAATCAGGGATGCAGCCGAAGAGTTCGCGGATGTGGATGAAGTCGAAGTGGTTGGGCGGGAAGGTCCATTCGAGCGAGACGTCGTCGATTTCGAAGTGGCAGTTTGGCGGGACCCATTCGGGTTGGATGGGGGAGAGGTCGGTTCCTGTTACTGTTGCTGAGGGGTATTGGTCTGCCATATCCTGTACATGTATTATTAGCCTGTGTTGGGGGATATGGCTGGGCAGCGTACAATTGCCCATATGCCGGTTCCTGTGCCGCAATCTAATATCGTCTGTGGATTAACCAGCGGCGCAAGATGCAGCTTCTGGTCGAGCGTCAGGAGGTACATGTGGTGCGCGAAATCCAGTATCTCCTTGGCCAGCTCGTCATTTGGTCCCCAGTATGCGCCGTCGCGGTATGCGTGGTACTGGCGTCCATTCTCCATGCGGTGGTGGAGGATGGACGAGGCTAGCGAATCGGTCTCGTCGCCAAGGAGGCTGCCGCTGTCGAAGGCTGAGTCGGACGAGAAGCCAAGGCCATCGTCGTCGTCTACGGGGGACGCTTCGGAGTCTGGTGGCGCTGCGTGGTGTACGGGGGCGTGTTGTTGTGGGTACGAGGAAGAGGAAGGCGCGTCGTCTCCTAGATGCACGGCGCTATCCTGCTGGTGCAAGCCGATGCCCTCGAAAGGCTTCGGAGAAGATGAAGACGCCATGGTGCTGTCGTGAGAGTGCGCGGCGAGGAAGAGTGGGAGATATCGACGCGACGCCCGGAAACGACGGGTTACATATTGGAGAGTTGGAGCCGATGCACTGGGAAGTTGCTGGACGCTGGCCGGCCGCTGACTCTCGTTTGGAGGCGTCTGTCAATGGGCGAGGGGTCTCTGGCAAAGTGGAGCATTGCACCGATGGCGCCGCGTTCGCGCAGCATCCCCGAGTAGATCCAGCGGATCGGTCGTGTGCTCCGGTCGCTGCCATTCGTTGATGCGCGTGTAATGCACGCGCAAAAGGAACGGTGCTGCATCGCCTGCATGGCAGTTAGAGGCGTCGGGGTAAGCGCGTGCTGGCGGCACTCTACCGACGTTGTACGAAGACTCTGGGTGTCCCAGGCAGTCAGGCCATTGGCGAGCCTGCCAACAACGTCGAAAAGGAGGGTGTCGATGAATGCATCTCGTGACTGATGGACTGGCTCATTTGCGGGCCGCAAACGGCGTCATTCCCTTCATCGCCGTTGTCTAATCGGCCCTTTTGGCAGGCGGCACGGGTTGGAGAGGGTGGGCCAAGAGCACCTCTACAGTGGATACTCGAACTTTGTTGTAGAAGACGAAGAACAGGTTGAGAGTATGACCAAAGTCCATCGATGATCTCAGGCGACTTGACATGGAAAAACCAACTGCCGACGGCGAAGCCATTGCGGCGCAGCTTCCTTATATCATCATTGGCTCTGGTAAGCGACGGTGACGCCGCATACATGCTGCACCACACGGTCTGACCAGCTCGCAGGAACCGCTGGACTTGCACTCGCACAGGGGCTCCGCAAAGTATGTACACCGTCTGGGTAATGCAAAAGAGTAGCCTCATTCGAACAACTAGGCGAACATCCCGTGCGTCGTGTTCGAGAAGAACGCTGCCACGCATGGCGAGCGCGACTGGAACATGGGCCTTCACTGGGGCGCGCCAGTCCTGAAAAGCCTCATGCCAGATGGCTGGTGGGACTGCATCCAGAGCGTCCAGGTCGACCCGAATGTCCCCACGAAAGAGCAGGACACGTTGAAGTGGCTGCGAGGCGATACCGGAGCGCTGGTTGCAGCCATCACCTTCGGGCCTTTCTACCGCTTACGGAGGAGCAAGTTGCGCGACTTGTTAATGCAAGGCCTTGACATACACTTCGACAAGCGCTTATACGATGTCTCATACTCACCTGATGATGACTCAGTCACTGCCCATTTCGCCGACGGAACCTCGACGACGGGACGCATGCTGGTTGGCGCGGATGGAGCACGCTCTTCCACCAGGCAGATTCTCCTCGGGAGGGAATTGGGCTCCATCAACCACATACCGTATGCGTGCACGTTTGTCCAGTGCAAGTTTACCGCCGAGCAAGCCCGTTTCTTGCGGTCATTCCACCCGCTGTATCTAGCATGTGCACACCCGAATAACAACTTCGCCTTCTTCGGCATGCATGATGCGCCGGACGAAGATGACCCGGCTTCCTGGACCTTCTTCTACTACATCTCGTGGAGAAGTAGTCTGGAAGAGCAGGAAGCCACAAAGAACTGGACCGGTGCTCAGCGCCTGGCGCAACAAAAAGAATTCGCGAAAGAGTTTTGCGACCCGTGGAGGAGTGCGTTTGAATGGACGCCAGACTGCACGCCGGTGTGGTATCTCGGGCTCACGGACTGGGACCCGGGCATGGAAGGTCATCGCTGGGATAACCATCGCGGCTTAATTACTATGGTGGGCGATGCTGTGCATCCCATGACGTACCAGCGAGGTCAGGGCCTCAATCACTCTGTTACAGACGCTGGGAAGTTGTACGAAGCTATTACTAAGATCCAGGCTGGCGAGGACAGGAAAGCTGCGGTGGATGCGTTTGAAGAGGAGATGATTAGGCGTGGGGGTACGGAGGTTAGGGATGGCACGGCAAATACCATGATGCTTCATGATTGGGAACGCGTTAAGCAGAGTCCGCTTTTCACCAAGGGGATGAAGAAGACCGATGCTTAGGGGTCGGTAGATTTGGTTATCGCGTCGTATGAATGCATCGCGTCGCTGTAATGTATTGTAGCATGAATGAACGGATCTCTAAGCAATCTTGTGATCTGCTTTAATCTTAATAGACGATATCTCATTTCTAAATCTGAAGTCGGTGAAATGAAGCCAAGAAGATACTCAGCAGTATATCACAGTGAGCTGCTAATATATCCGGGCATCGAAGATGCTGACTGATGGTGGCGGGTTAGCGCGACAGTGCACATGCAGTACTCACGGTCCTCGACATCACACGCAGCTTCATTGATCGTTCTCGACACTTGCAGAGACACGATATCGCGCCGCTGACTCTATCGTGACTCTTCGCGATGATGGGGGTTGTTCTTTCTCATGAGCCGTAGACCCCTCATCTGGTGTCCAGGGCTCCGGCGAGATGCCTCGGATAACTTTGTCCCAACACCATGACGTCGGCCATCCTCGGTCCTAGCTGCGCGATGCGCGACAACGCTCGACATCTACTGTCGTTCTATTCTTGATAGCTAACACTACGAACAATTCCTCGAATAGTGTACTAACCAGCTCAAATTACCTCACCCCGCCTTCCAGTGTTAGAGATCCCGCCCCCAAACGAAGATGACCTCCCCTTCCGAATTTCACGGCTGGCTGGGCCACGATAAGAATGCCGCGCAGGGTAATATGACATGGTCGTCCTTCCAACCTAAGCCCTTCAACGCCATCGACATCGACATCAAAGTCTCCCATTGCGGCATCTGCGGCACCGACATCCACACCCTGCGATCTGGCTGGGGCGCAACCCACTATCCCGTATGCGTCGGCCATGAAATCGTCGGAAACGTCGTGCGTGTGGGAGACAAAGTCAAGAACCTGCGCTTAGGCGACCGAGTTGGCGTTGGCGCGCAGGCGTTCAGCTGCTTGAAGGACGACTGCGAGGAATGTAGCGCGGGCATTGAGCAGCATTGTCCGAAGATGGTGGGCACATATAATGCGAAGTACCCCGATGGAAGCTGGAGCATGGGCGGATATGCAGACTACGTTCGTGTGCCTGCTCATTTCGCTATCAAGATACCCGCTGGGTTGAAGAGCGAAGAAGCAGCGCCTATGATGTGCGGCGGCATCACCGTCTATGCGCCGCTGAAGAACAACGGCGCGGGTCCAGGGAAGAAGGTAGGAATTGTAGGGCTGGGAGGTCTAGGCCATTTCGGCGTCTTGTTCGCGAAAGCACTCGGCTGCGAGAAGGTTGTCGCGATAAGCCGACGGAGGAACAAAGTCGACGACGCAAAAGCTATGGGCGCCACAGATTACATCGCGACGTCCGAAGACGACAAGTGGGCGCGCAACCACAGCCGAACCCTCGACCTCATCATCAGCACAGTCTCTTCTCCAGACATGCCGCTCGAGTCTTATCTCCGACTTCTCCGTACAGGCGGTTCATTCATTCAGGTCGGCGCACCAGAAGACAAGCTCCCTCAAATCGCTGCGTTTGGTCTCATTGGCAAAGGATGCAAGATCGGGGGTAGTCAGATTGGCAGTCCCAAGGAGATTGAGGAGATGCTTCAGTTTGCGGCTGACAAGGGGATTAAGCCGTGGGTGCAGAAGCGCAATATGAAGGATGCGAATAAGAGTGTGGTTGATATGGAGGAGGGACACGCACGGTATCGCTATGTTCTTGTGAATGCGGACCATGGGGATAGGGCGAAGATGTGAGCGCAGAGGCGTGCAATCACGTTGTTCTATTTCAACCAGTACTATTCACATTTGACAGCCAGCAGAGCGACTCTGACATCAACGCAGTCAAGTTTCGTGCTTGACATATCATATCCGCTTGCTCTTGTCGTTGTTTGTTCCCTAAACCAGATTGTCTCACAGACGGCCGTCTTCTCAAACCCTTTCCCTTATCTCACACTCAACAGCCCATTTTCACAATGCGCAACAGAACTAGCCTCGCACCGCCCCTGCATTATCTCATTATTCGCAACGTGCAAGTGATACATCGCCTCCTGGCTCACACGCAAGCCGCACCTCGACCCATCAACCAAACCACAGCCCCTTCTCCCATAATGCGCTCTTCCTCCCTGGCTCGCATCAGAATCCCACCCAGGGTACCGAATCCGCCCCAATCCACCTCACCAAGCCGCGCAATAAAGCAATGCGCGCGACAATCCCTCTCTTATCTATACTACCTTCACACATTTCTTATGTCTTGGTTTACGAAGACAAAGACAGCGCCGAACGCATCCAAGCCGCCCACAGCATCCAAAGCACCCAAAGCGCACATCGCCGGCATGCACATCACACGCGATCAAGCGAAACGCCTCATGGAAGTCTGCACAACACTCGAAGACATGATTGAAAAACAAACCAAAGACATATATTGCATTCACGGCGCCTCGGAATCGTACGCGTCGTCCACGTTGAGACGCATCAAGAAACAACAAGAGGACATCTTGAAGACGCTCGAGGATCTCATATATAGTTCCAAGGGCTACAAAGATGACGCAGCTTGCGTGGAAGAGTTTTACGATGCGCATTGCAGTATGAGGAGGATAGAGATGAGGTGTGAACACCAATCCAAATATCCCTGTAGGGATTGGAGGACTGCGGCGGAGAGGTATTGGCCGTTGATCGCGGGGCGGTATGAACTCCTTTTGGAACTTGTTGCAATTCTGAAGCGGGAGATTGGGGATGCGATTAAAGACGAAAGAATGTGGGCTGGAGAAACGGTCAAGCGGAACCATCGCATGGGTCTTGAGTGCGTGGAATCGGCACTGAACCGCGGACCTCGAAGTAAGCCCACGCCTACATCCGGGTACGTATCGCTCAAGGACAAACACGTCACCTTCTCTGAAACAGTGTTCTGGCGAAAGTTCAATAGCGCAGCCCCACCAGAGGAGCTAGACAGACTGGCCTCAAATACAGGTCTTCACAAAGAAGAGTTTACCACGAGCCTGGCTAGAAGGGGGCGCAGGTCAACGAAGAGCTTTAAGAAGAGGAAAGTGGAGAACAAGGGGTGGGATTCAATGTTCAAGACGGATTGGTGGAGTGTAGGGTTGGAGCCTTGGGGGCCGGCGAAAACTAATGAGGAAGAGGCGACGGAGGAGGATATAGAGAGATTGGAAAAAGAGATGAATAAAGAAATAAGACAGCAGCTAGCGACACAACCATGGTAGGGGACGGAGAGTATGGACAGATGAGGAGATATCAAGGAACAGGTGTGCATCAAGGGGGGAGAACACAATGTATGATGAACAGTCTCATTCTGCACATCCGTACATTCATCTCCAACATCCGCGGAGAACTTACCACTAAGCACGAATATACTCATTGTACAACAATTCCAGTACCGACAAGCCACTCCAAACAGCAGCAACAATACAGGTTGCTCGCAAGACTTTGTAAGAGAACCGCCAGATCCTACGAGATACCCAGTACCACTTTGGAACATCTTTCCAGCTCCTGCGCCGCCAGACCACACTGAAACAGCTAGTCCCACCCTCTCTATCACGCCGAGTCTGCATGTCCCATAGACGCAAGGGATACTCGAAGTCCTCGCCATACTGAAGCCAAGGCTCGGGTATAATACCAAATCGTGATGCAACCCGCGTATCCTGGGGAACATTGTACCAGCGAAGACTAATATACCTAATACTAGACCGATTTGTCTTCTCGCACAACTTGTCGTACTCTGGAATAGTATGTGCGCCTAGGGCCAGGATATATCGACACAGGTCCATGTGCGTGTCGCAGTACAGGTCGTACATGGCAAGTTGCGACCTGTAATTCCGCGGCCAGTTGTTACTAAAGTTGACGATGACGGTGGTAATCCAGGACCAGTGCCAGGGAATGAAATTCGGCAGATTGATGGTACTTGCCGTGGGGTCCAGTGATGGGAGGCGGAGTACGATCTTTGATCTTTGGGATGAATCGCGGGCGGACGTGAGGATGCGTATGTTGTGGATGGCGAGGAAAGTTTGGAGTTGGGTGTATTCTTTGGATATGTGTTTCTTTGCTTCGTGCTTCCATTCTTTGCGGATGAGGTGACATGTTTGCAAGAAACCGGAATATGAGGCGAAAGAGGTGTTGACTGGCGAGATGTGGTTGTAGATGTGGATGCGAATCTCGGCTGGCAAGGCCAGGAAGGCGATTGTGGGCATGAAGAAGCTTGACGGTGTGTAGTAGCTCTTGTGGTTGCTACGATCGAGGGAGCTGTTGAGAGGACCTTCGAGTACTTAGTAACTACCTGATAAGTGTGGAGGGCTAGTGCACGGACGAGGCGAGACCGTGAAGGCAACTGTTCGTCCGATTGCTCGAAATATTTCCCAGAGGCAGCCCTAGAGCCCAAGTGAATAGCATTCTGTCTGTGCTGAGATACAACCGGGAAATAAATACAGCAAAGCTGGCGATGGGTAAGTTGTTCAAGAAGCTTTCAGCCGCCCTGGCTACCTGCGCTGAACCTTAGTGTATACCTTGGTCGGCTTGTTGAACCAGTAGTTATGCGTCTCCCATTCCTTCTCTGGTTCGAGGAGCTCAAGGTCGAAGTCGCGTAGAAGTTGCGGTATCACTTTGTACATCTCACACAGCGAGATCTTCCTATCATTAGCAACCTTCAGTAGACCCTCAAGCTTCAACTTACATTCTTTCCAATACATGTGCGCGACCCACCACCAAACTGCGGCATCGGTTAGTACCTGGGAAGACAGGGTAATAATCATACTCGTACCTGCAGCATGTATCTCTCCATCCTTGCAGCGTCTACGCCAAGCCATCGTTCAGGTACGAACTCGTCCACATCATCACCGAAGATGTTCTCATCGCGTTGTACCACCGCGGCGTTCATGCCGACTCGAGTACCGGAAGGAAACCATTCGCCAGCGATCATGCATCCGCCTTCGGGCACGTGACGAGGTAGTGTCATACCCACGCTTGGGTGGAGTCGCATACCCTCTTTGCAGCAGGCCATTAGGTATGGTAGTCCGACTGCCTCATGGTACTGGATGATTGGGCTGAGTAGGCCGGCTTGTGCAGCTTCATCTATCTCGGAAGTGAGCTTGACGTAGGCGGACGGGGTACGCATAAGATAGTAGATAATAGCGGTGATGGCTGCTGCGGTGGTGTCGGAGCCGGCAATGCTAGGGAGCGTTAGTGCGCCGATGACATACGGTAAAGAAGAACCCACAAAGCTCCATAAACTTCAGCCTTTATCTCAGTCATGCCAAAATCCTTGTCGGTACCCTTTTGGTGCATGATGTTGAAGAAGCTTTGTAGCATATCTTCGCAGTCATCGGCTTTGCCGCGCTCGATGCGCCGTTTCCGCTCCGTGACGCATGCTTCGGATGCCTCTTCGATGTGTTTCAGAGCTTTTAGAGCCTTGAATACACGTGGTATCAATGCGCCGCTGATAAGTACAATTGGTCGTAAGTACGCTGGTGAAGCGCAGGCAACGGCGATGAACGGGATCAACAGGTCCAAGGAGTGGATGTAGCCGCCATAGTCATGAGCATTCTTCATGAAGCCAAACATGCGACTAAAGAATAGTTGTCCAATGACGTCGAAGGCGTACCTAGATTCCAAGTCAGTTCTCGCATATATGAGGTTTACTGTATAATGTCTTACCATTGAACCCAAGTCGACATGTCAAGCGTACTGCCTTTCGTTGCACCCTCGCTTAGCTTGTCGACAAGCATCTGTACACATTTGTCGACACTTTCCTCCATCCGCAGTATATTGGACATGGAATAGAGAGAGTTCACGATCCTGCGCCTCTCGGCGTGTTGACGCTCGTCGAGGTTCGTAAAGGCATCTGGGTATCTTGACCAGGTTGATCGGAATGGGAGGTAGAAGTCGGTCTGTACGACGTCAGCATCAGTGGCGCCTCTCAGAATCATTTGCGTACCTTGGTGAACCCTGTATGTGTTGCATATATGGTCTTGATTGCTTCAGGGTCCGCTATCGCAACCTCATTCGGGGCTATCCGAACGATGGGTCCTATGCTGGTCAATACCGCGAAAAGCTTGGCGAGTAGGGCAGTAGCTTCATACCAAATCGCTCATGAAGCCTTCGTTGTGTCTCCTCCGAGTTTCCTCGTGCAACATCGAAGATGTGCCAGAACCGCGTGATCGAAGCAAAGAACGGCCCGGGGTGTTTGGCTAGCGGGTGTATATGTCTGGCATAGAAGACCCATATTAGCAGGTAAGTAAGAAGGGAGATCACAATGAGAGCCACGAGAGGCATTGACTGGGTAGAGAGCAGCAGCTGTTGAGACATATTAGAAAAGCCTTGAGATAAGGACGACATGATCAGCCCCAGGTAACTCTGGAGAGCATGTGGTGCGTCCTCTGGCGCTTTATCCTGTAGGTTCCCAGGATCTGATCATACCAGGTTGACTCAGAGGACCTGTAGACAACCAGGTGTGTACACGGCTCCAAGTTTCTTGGCCGACACCGGGGCTGAGACCATTACTGCGGTGGCATTCGCGCTTCTACGTCGCTCCAGCACATCAACATCGTCGCCTGCTGCAGATCGTTCCACAATCACAATCGCATTGGTTGCGTAGCGAGATAAGAACTACTACTGTGCAGAGCAGTGGAACAGTCCCCCAGGCTGGGAGTCCGCATCGTCCTGTTCTGAACCTGTTCACTAAATCAAGTTAGGCCTCTCAAGGTTTCAGGCGTAAGAATAATCGTATCGACGAGATAAGTGGCGCATCCCTTGCTCTTGTAATGGACCGTGATTGCTGAAGTCGACTCCACCAACATTGGGGGTGGCTTCTGACATCAGCAGCACTCAGCGGCAGACTTTGTCACCATCGTATCCGAGAGACCTGTATGGTAGAAGTCGTTTTCTAGCTAGACCAGGCATCCGGAAGCGACATCAAAAAGATCTGGTGAGCCTTCCAGGTGGAGACGCGGTCGCGCCATCCAACAGATCATCGTAGCATGGGTAAGCCGGCACGGCACGGCTCTGCGACCGGGAAGGATGTTGCAGGCCGATGCAGCTTCCAGAAACCGAGATACGGCATAGATATCAGTGGGCGGCACGATGTGATGTGATGTGATGTTTGAAGGTGCACGACAGCTGCCCAGCCCTGGAGGTGGGCAGCAGGCGTCGCTGTATTGCTAACCGAATTCGGTCTCGGCCTCACATAACACGTCGTCATTGAGCGAGCTCGCGGTGCTTGAGCTTACCCGGCAAGCGCGAACAGTTGGCGCAGTACATACTACATAGATACAACTTTATGTTTATCTACATCTTTACTCAAATGAACCCCATGCGGGGGAGATGCAATGCTTAGCACAAGTACCGCCATAACCGTCGCCTCTTATCCCTGCCAACGCGTCACTCGTCATATCACCTACCACGCATCGCTATACAACCCCCTATACTCCTCACGAACGCGTGATGATGCTGCTTCCGCGATACTACGACTCGTCATTGTGTAGAGCCAGTCCCAATCGCCTAACGCTCCCAACACTTACGGCCCGTGGTCAAGGCTGTTTGCGGATTCCGCTGCGTGCTGAGGAACATGCGCACCGTGTTCATGACCGGAAAGAGTTGTTAAAGGGATGTTGTCTGATGGCTGTGGCGCAGTGTCGGAAGAGGCAGAGCTACTCGCGCCATCCGATGGATGTTGAGGATCACGCGTAACCATCGATGCTCCTATGCCGGAATCGCCGGTTGACGGTGTCGAAGTGCCAGATGATGAGTTTGGTGAGGTACGCCCCTGTTCGACCAACCCATCTGAATCGGCTGGTCCAGCACCCTCATTTCTTGTCACCAACCACTCGGTGAAGACTTTGAATAGCTGCCACGCCGCCTGCAAGAGCACCAAGTCGGAAATGATGATCGAAAGGACCAGATCACCCGTGGACTTTAACTGTGGCACCTGGCAATAGTATTGCTGCATGATGACGGACGGAACAAAGCCAAGAGGGCCACTGGTCGAGCGCTGGGCGTCGAAGGGAACGCGCTCCGGGCCGAATCGATCGGTTGACAGGTACTCGTGTATAGTGGTAAAGTTCGCCGTAAAATACTCAAGTGCTGTCTCATTGGCGAGGATGTTTGGCGTCTCGACCTGTCCCAAGTCCGCGAGGACAGTCGAGTAGGCTGCTTTGGCTAGCATGTCAACCGGTACCCATATGTTGGGATAGACGCTTCGGTTGTTGAGATCGCCCATAGTGGTTGAATCTTCGTTACCACTGCCAGGCCAAATGTTCTTGAAGCCGATGCCGTTATCCCTGGCCACGATGAAGCGGTAGTTGGGGGTGAAGAAGTCTATGTCGGCAATATCGTCTACTGATTCCGTGGGCATGAGATACACCATGCCCTTCTCGATGGCTTGTTGGCCCTCATTGAGCTTCTTCTTGCGATATTGTTGCATGAACCAGGTCGTGTAGCCCCAGTAGTTAGACATGAGCGACTCGCCCCACCACAGGCTCGCGCGCGTCTGCTTGTTATGGGTGAGGAATTCTCTACCCGAGGAGCGACCCTTCATCCGCGAAAGCGTTGTCGGTGATGGAACGTGGTTGTACGTTTGCGTCAGGTTGAAGAAGACAGTACCTAACGGACTCGAGATCTGGCATGTGGCATACGTTCGGACTGCAGTGTTCCATCCGGCGTAACGGATCTGGTTGGTCGCTTCGTCCAAGGCTTGGAACTGAATCCCGATCGAGACAATAGAACAATTCTCTAAGATGTTGTTCTGATATGTTAAGGACGGCAGTTCGTTTTCCTGCGTGTCTTGCTCAGTCCAGACAGCTTCGAGTGTGTATGAGAGCGCAGTCTGGTTCGTGAAGAAGGTTGCGTGCTTAGAGAGGTCCGCGGGCATGCACTTGGGTTGTATCCTATACGTACGGGTACAAAGTCAGATCAGTCAGTCAAGTGGTGTTAGATGTGAGTCGAGCATGTCAAAGACATAGCGACCTTTACTCGGATGGAACGTACTTGTTGGTGAGGATATTCCAGGATGGCCAGCCATCTTGCGATCGCTGGGTGATGGTCGCGTTAGGGTCGAATGTTCTCTCCAAGACTAGGTCAAAACCGCTAATGGCGACGTTGATGTATGTGAATAGTGCTGTCAAGCAGAGTCCGCCAACAACGACAACTGGTGTATACCACCGGTACGGATAAGGTCGTACCACAGGGTAAGCAAAGCGTGCCTGATGGGGTTGTGGCATTGTCGTGAATAGTCTGATTTGAATCTTGAAGGGAGCGTGACAGATGGTGGCGGCAAGACGTATGTAAGAGGGTAGGTATCTTTTATATTTGCGCAACATTCAGCATGCCGGAGATGCCTAAGTGATTTGGGCGAATGAGCTCCACGCAATGCGACAAGTAGCCGGACGAATTCAACAGGCAGAAATGAGGCGTCCAGATTGACGATATCGTGCAATGTTACACAGCAGCCACGCCTGAAGGCTGACAGCGGGAGGCTGGACAATTCTCTCATGATGACGACGCGACATAACAAAGGGGATATGTCCATTCACTTAGTGAACGTTGCGTTCGAGTGTATGATCAAGCAGATATCTAGAGAGCTCGTAGCCATCCACAAGGGCTGATAGATGCACCACGCAATTTGTTTGTAGTATCAGATCGAGAAGAGCTCAACATACGAGGCACTTCCGAGCAGCGTCATTCAGATGTCAGTGGGAGACTGGCAAGTTGCCTTGTGTTCCTCGAGATGCAGTTTTTCGCGCAGAACCCACCCAAGAACAGGTTTTTATCGTGGGCTGTGCTGGTGGAGACCGTGGCCGTGGTACGTGACACAAACTCGGCCCCGGAGTGGAATGTCTTGGAAGGTGTCACAAACCAAGCGGAGTGGGCTATGCTGCGCAGACCCGAAACACGGAAGGCAAATGATAGGATAGGAGAGCAGCGGGACAAATAAGTCATGTGGAAGCTGGTGGCAAGTATAATGCGGTGATACTGTGAGCAAGGTTTCTTGACATGACACTGCATAACGTGACGTGCCAACTCCATGTATGAAGCAAACATCATCGTGATGCTTGCTCCAGGAGAACGCCTGAAGCTCTGAGGGACATAACCCCGCAAGGGTATGTACCAAAACACCAGAGAAAATCTCGGGAAACAACACTGCCACCGCTTCGCCGCCAACTCCTTCAAGCTGTACCACATCCCCTTCTACGCATCCGCCCACCCCTCCTCCCTCCCTACCACCTTCTCAATCTCCTTAACCACCTCCTTCAACGGCTTCAAAATCCTCCTCTGATAAATCACTACAATACACTCCACATCCCACATCTCCACCTCCCCATTCTTCCCAAGCTGATATTTACCCAACAGCCCAAGCCCCTCCGCAACATCCCCAACAGGCCCCTGCGCAGACCTAAACTTCTGCACCGCGCGCGACCCATCCTGGTAGATACTCTGGCTCTTCCTTACAAACAACTCGATAGCTTTATTCCGCTCGATCAGCGACATCAAGCCCAAGTCATGGAACGCCTCCACCTGGGCGTCGATATGCGACTTCACGGCTTTCAGCAGAGTCAAAGTTGGGTTGGCGTCAGAGCGTGTCATGACGGTGCCGTAGATGTTTGTTACTTGGCGGGCAAGGCGTTTCTGTAGCTGGAGATGATGTTTTTTTGATGCTAGCGTTTCGAAATCGGGTTCGGAGTCGTAAGCGAAGTCGGTTTGGGGTGCGGTGGCGTTGGCCATGCGGCCTTTGAGGTAGAAGGATGTGAAGCCTGGCATTGTGGGTGGATTATGGATTGAAGTTTGGGTGGTGTGGTGGTTGAGGAGAGCAGATGGGGTGAACGCTTGGTGAGGCTCAGAGACCGAGTCGTTATATAGGTTGAGGGGAGCGTTAGTGGCAAGTATCGAGGTTCTGGTTCCTGCTTGTCGCTTGCATGCAGCAGTGAGTTTGCGCTGTGCATGAACGACTGCGTACTTCGAAGTCACAGTGGTTTCCACTTCACAAGGAGTGAAAGTCATGAGATGGGCAATGAACGCAAAGATCTGTGTTGATCTTCCAGGCTTCGCGCTCGAGCTTCTAGTCTTCGCGGGATACTTTAGGTGTGTACATCATTGGGTTAGTAAGTCGATAACGGTGGTTTGCCAGGGCTGTTCGTCGGAACGGTCGTCTCCATACTCGACCACGGTAGCCAAGGAGATCTAGGTTGGTGAGGCTATATGGGACTGCAAAGAGTCATCGCTTACGATGGTAGTCAAAATTAAAGAGCAATGTATACCTAGGATGTGATCATAATACATTGAGTGTACATAATCATTGTGTCCTCTTGATGCTGTCTACAATACCAGCACGTACAAATCCAGCCTTGCAGCCGCAGAGAAAACAGTCTCATCCCACGATGAGAATGATGACCGCGAGAACCGCAGCTATACTGACGCCGGTTGCCGGTTCAATGGCAGCGATAATGCCGATTGCAAGGACGGTTGCTGCCAAGCTATACTTTATGACAGGGTCAGATGCTGCGTAAGGACATCCACGTGTATGGCAGTATGTAGCAACGCTGTCTACTGTCCAGTCGGCTGTAAGGGATGGGACAGTTTGGTGGCGAGGGTAGGCTAGACTCAATGCATGGAGTCTTTGCAGTCTGCGCCTGGATGCGCGCATGGCGCTGCATTTACAAGCGGCTGTGGATAAGTGGACTGTTTTCATGGTGGAGTTGATAAGTTTTGGAGTTGTCGTTGTGGGTGCTTGAGATCTGAATCGAGTGCTGTAGACGGTATGAAAGACTAGACGAAAGAAGCAAATGTTAATGTTGTAGGCTGTTCACAGTGCAAATTCGCAGTATGGTGTAACTGAACGCCGATGAGGGGTGCATGCACAATGTTTGGTAGTACTTGGAGAGACGTACCAGGCCGTGATACCTGTAATACCACTTGGTATCGTTGTTAGCAGGTCAACTTGAGGCGTGGAAGGATGATGGTTCGACGTCACAATGTACAAAGTGAAGAGTGGCGGCATCTTGTCATTCTGGATTGAATGAAAGTGGAATGTATTGATGAGAAGCCCCGAGCAGCAAAACAATGTCGGGATAAGTGTCGCAAACGATAGCTTTTCGTTCTCAGTGAGGCACAAAATGTCCCATCTAGATCTTGTCATACTTGCCCTTTTTACCAACCTTAGACTGTCGCTGTCGACCCATGGAAATGCATTCTCAAGTCAAATATCGATACTCTCCGGACCAGTGGGATTGCTATACTTGGTCAAATGAACTGGAACAGCTCAGGAGCCGCCTGGGAGTGAACGGAGAGCAATCCTGGTGCGTTGAAGGGCCGCTTTCGCCATGTTATCCAGTTCTCTCGAGGCGTCATCCAAAAGCTGCATGCAACGGTACAGAAATCCACGAGTGTACTATCGAAGCCGATCCTCTGTCCGAGAAGTCAGCTTTATGGGCCCGTGACCATCTTGTTCAACTTTTCCAACTCACGCATTTTGTTCAGCTCGTCCAGGATTAACTGGAGCTCGTCCTCGTCCATGTTCAGCGAGGGAATGAGGGTGGTGGCCTCTTCTGCGGTGTCTGGGGTAAGCGTTCCTAGCAACCTTGTCAGCACCACGTCCATTCCCTTCCGATTCGTGTATTACCAAGCAGTGCCTTCTCGACAACGGAGATCTCGGGGTGGGCATCGAAGAGGGCAGCGATCGAGTGCAGACTGTCTTCCTCCTTGTAGCGGGCGAAGTTGTCTAGGTAGTCGAGAAACTGTGTGATGGTTCTGCTGCAGTCAGTCCTGGCTCTTTCCTTGACGCTTCCCATGTGTCGCGTCTTCTTGAGGCGACTCACATGCTGTCGTTGTATATCCTGTCGCGTAGCGGGTTGTTCTCGGGATCTTTCTTCTTCCGGGCCTCGTGGACGGCTGTGACGACGGCGCGCGCTTCGGAGACGGAGAGGGCGTGGACGTCTTCAAAGTCGCCCAGCTTGATCTCAGAGCCCATCTCCTCCTCTTGCTGCACCGGGGGCTTCGGGCGCGAAACTAGCCTCGGGGCCTTGAAGACGGGTGGCTCCTGCCTCTGGGGCGGCGCGTGTTCTCCCTCTCCTTCCATGGCGAAGGGGTGTAAGGGTATGTGGTAGGCTGGTAAACGACGGTAGGCAAAGGTATAGACGCGGTCGGTGAGTTGTGATGGTCTTTGTTGGATATGCGCAGGTTCTTCGGGCGGTGCGCGGGCTCGGTCCTGCTAGTAAAAGCGGCGGAGCTAGAGTGAGGGCGGGTGAGAGCGAGTGAGACGTGTAGGATAGCAGTGACGACGGACGTGCCTTCCAACCGCAAACAACAGCCTCACCAGGTGGAAGTCGCGACTGTCGAGATCTCAAATGCCAAGACTCTCCGAAAGCGCTAGCAGCACCCATGAACCTTGAAACGAACAGCCTTCCCCGCCCGGCGCGCTGACTTTCATCGGCCTGCAGACGGCCTGCAGTGCGTTATGCTCCAGGAATAGCCTGCCATGTACCGAGGATGCTGAGGGAAATATCTCGTGTGTGCGCTGGACGTATAATATCTTGTGTAACGTCTTCACAACCCACCAGCTAGCCGCATGCGCACCGGCAGCGCTGAACAAGTGCATAATGGCATACTAATGCCGGCTCTCTTAGAGGGCTAAAATAAGCTCAAGGGGTCCCAAGGCGCCGATGCTGCTGCCGGCCATCTGCCTGTACATCGCAATCAGCGTGCACCAAAGCGGCTAGCGCCGCCTGCAACATGCAGTCCACTCCTCGAACATTGACCACAGCCGCAGTGACACAGGAACAACCACCAGCCTCACACCCCAAGCCGCCTCCTGCGAATTTTCCGCCAAGCGACCACTGATTGCGCTTTTGCGAGTTGCATGTCCGGTGCTGCTGCCTCTTGTTACTTGCCTTGCCCGCCCTGACCGCGTTTCATCCACCGCTCAGGGTCCTCGTCCTATGCCCCCCATAGCACGCCGGGCCTAATTCACCACACGCCTGCTCCTCCGCGGCGACCGCATGCCGTCCGAGTTGCTTTTGCGCCCATTGTACATAGCATCCCTTACACCCAGCCCAGCCCGCCCTGCCAGACGCCGCGCATTGCTAGACAGAGCGCGCTCGCCAACGCATCGCCGCCCTTCTACCCTTGGCCACCTCCCCGGGTAGATCCACCGCGACTCGACACCCCTCGTCCGCGGCACCTCCTACCAACGCCGCAGCTCATCCGACAAACGTACTCTGACAAACCCGTCCCTGCCAACTCTCGCCTCCCTGTCGCGCGCCCCTCCCACCTCGGCTACGCCACGCACCCGTTCCGGACCCTGCATCGAAGTGGAGGATTGTCGAAGCTGGCGTAACTGGACATGGGAACACCGGCGGAGGGACCGCCTCCGATGGATCATCAGGGCGCCCAGTCACAGTACAACTACGATCCGCGCAACAATGGCCTCTCCAGACGCGCCACCGACGAGGCCGCATCCTCGTCAACCAGTCTTGCGCCCTACGACCGCACCAACTACCCCCCGCGATCGTCGACCGACCCGGGGGACCAGAACCAGCCCGTCGCCAAACCCAAGCGAAGCGGGAAGATATGTGGAAAATGTGGGGAAGGACTGACTGGACAATTTGTGCGAGCCTTGGGCGACACCTACCATTTGGAATGCTTTACTTGTCACGTAAGACACCCATGTTGTTTTCTGAATTGGAGGAGCTGGGCATTCGCACGTCCGTTGCTCTTCAGCGACAGGATCGCGCGCATCGCTGTTCTGGATGGACTGCTCCAATTGTCTCGAGCGCCATAATTCTCTACATAGCATCTCTGATCACAGTGCTGACCTGCCTTCTAGGACTGCGGTAAAATCGTTGCCTCCAAGTTTTTCCCCGTACCCGACAAGCCACCCGGCCAGTACCCCCTCTGCGAAACCGACTATTTCCGACGTCTTGATCTGCTCTGCTTCGAATGCGGGCAGGCCTTGCGCGGCTCATACATCACAGCGTTAGACCGGAAATACCACATTGAGCACTTTACCTGTTCCGTGTGTCCTACCGTTTTCGGCGCCTCGGACAGCTACTACGAGCACGCGGGCAGCGTCTACTGTCACTACCACTACTCCACCAAATTCGCCCAGCGGTGTAACGGCTGTCAGACATCAATTCTGAAGCAGTTCGTTGAGATCTTCCGAAATGGTCAGAACCAGCATTGGCATCCGGAATGCTACATGATCCACAAGTACTGGAATGTCAGGCTTCATTCTACAGGCCAACCTGTCATCGAGCGATTGCAGGATGCCGATGGCGACGCGACAGATGAGGTGCGCGAGAGCGTCCGCCAACAGGAAGAAGAGATCGAAGCCAAAGTCAACTGGATCTGGAAGACCTTGTCGGCTTTCGAGGAAAAGTCCGCGACCTGCATCTCCGACATGCTCCTGCACGTCAGTAACGGTGCTTACGTCGACGGTGTCATGGCCGCCAAAAAGTTCATTGTGCACGTCGAACTGCTTTTCGCGGCCGCCGACGCGCTCGATGCGCAATTGATCGTCAGGACACCCAAGGGATTGACCTATTCGCGCGAATCAAAGCTACTTTGTAAGAAAGTGGTAGCCTTCTTCGCGCTTCTTACCCAGTCCCAGGGTACTGGCGTGCGACGACTGGGCGTGACCCAAGAATTGCTGTCCCTGGTTACTGGCTTAGCCCACTACCTCAAGCTCCTCATCCGCATATGCCTGCAGGGTTCTCTAAAATTAGAGCGCGAGACCCGGAGCTCTACCGGTTTGACCAACTTCCTTACCCAAGTAAACTCACTCGATGCGCGGTTGGAGGACGAGGCCCAAAGAGACCAGGCGGCTGAGTCCGCGCGGCTTGTCCCAAGATGGGCCGACGCATGTCCAATATGCGATGCCCAGGTTGAAGACAAGTGTTTACACCTGAACAACATGTCGTACAATTACAGCTGCATGGTTTGCCGGGGATGCAATGCCGACTTGCGCCACAGCCCTCAGAGCGCTTATTGGAGTAAATCGAAGCGAAGCATCTTCTGTCCGGCATGTGCAGCAGCGCAGCCAGACGCCGAGAACGGTTTTGAGCAGGTCACCAAGCTGCGCCAATATGTGCACCTACTAAACGTGGCGCATGCGCGTCTTATGGCAACCCTACGATCCAGTGGCGCATTGCCACACACTTCAGGTAAGAATAACTCTCCGTAACAGATCACCTCGTCACCACACATCTTGACACTCCGACTCAGATTTCTGGAGCCGCTTCCGAGATTACATTCGTCCAACTAATGACTTGTAGATGATCCCAACCTGGCAGGCTATGATTCCACACAGGGACATCGCCTTGGGGATGACCCGCCGCATTTGCGACCGGACACACGATCAAAGTCGTATGGAGGGACATCAGCAACAGACAGTCAAAACAGCAACAACGCCGCCTACGAGCAATCCATGTCTGACATCAAGCGCCTACGATCGACACGACTTGACAAGCACCTATCCAACACGATGAAACGTGCGCGCGCATCACGAATCATCGACGGTCCTGAGGGTCTCGAAGGAGAAGGACAAATGCGAGGAGGAATGCAAATCGTTCAGGAACGCGAGCTAGGGGGCGACGCCGACGCTGTAACACTCGCTGTGAACTCTCTCGCTTTAGACGACATTGCTCGCATGGCTGCGTTGGAGCAGCAACGAGAGCAACGTCCAAATGCATTCCGCGCTGGTGGAAGCGCACTACTGGGACGAGAAGATCAACCGAAGCTGCAGAATGGCCATCGTCGCGACTTCTCTGGCGCCCAGGATCTACAACAGATGACCGAAGGTCGCTCACGAACCTACTTCTCGGAGCTGTCGCCACTTGAATACTTCAAGCTGAAGGGCCTTGCAGTACTCCAGCTTGGTCTCTTGCTCGACGACAATCAGTACAACCAGGGCGATCTGCTCGATCTCATCGAGTCGAAGAAAAACAACTTCTGGGGCAAGATCGGGTTCGGCAAAGCGTTCAAGGCCGACAAAAGCAAGCCGAAGAAGGGCGTTACAGGAGTCGAGAAGCCAGTTTCCGACAAAGCAACTTTCCGACAGTCGCTTGAGTACCTCGTGGAAAAGTATGGTGATGAGTGCACGGAAGGTGTAGGACCGGGCGCTCTCAAAGTTCCAGCTTTGCTTCAGGATTGTATCACTGCGATGAGAAGTATGGACATGTCCATCGAGGGTGTGTTCAGGAAGAACGGCAACCTCAAAGCTCTGCGCGAACTCGAGGAAGAGATTGACGCTCACGGTGTTCAGAAGGTCGACCTAAATACCAAGAACCCGGTCATACTCGCCAACCTCCTGAAGCGCTTCCTCAGGTTGATGCCTGAGCCGGTATTGACATTGAAGCTATATAGGCTGTTCATGGTGGCTAATGGTAAGTCGCTTAATTTTACCCGCCGTGCTTGACTAACAGTAACAGACATTGAGGATGAGGCACAAAGAAAGAAGGTCTTGCATCTCGTGCTTTGCCTACTGCCCAAGGCCCACCGTGACACAATGGAAGTCCTGTTCTGCTTCCTGAACTGGGTTTCATCATTCCACACTGTGGATGAAGAGACAGGCAACAAGATGGACACCTGGAACATCGCCACCGTTATGGCTCCCAACATTCTGCGAGAGAGCAACGACAAAGAAGTCAAGAGCGTGGATCAAGGCGCGGTCAAGGTCGTGTTTGATCTCATCGAAAACAACGATGAGTTCTCCGAGGTATGTTGCTCCGCCATACTACCAATCCACTTTCATACTAACGTCAACAGGTGCCTCCCGAGATCATGGAACTACTCAGCGATGAAGTGTCCGACATGAGCGCAAAGGAAATCATGCGCCAATGGGAGCAGCGGGGGAAGAACCCTCTGTCAGCTCCTACGCCATCACCCAGAGACCAAACCGGCACAGCTTCCAGGAAAGACCAGCGCAATTCGCCCCAAGTTACGACGGCGGACAACAACCCCTCGGCTCAAGCTGGCGAAGCATCCGTTCGCCAGATCCCCGGCGGGGGTGCTCAACCTATGGGCAGCAATCAGCACAGCCCCACACCAGGGTACGACCGAAATACACCCAACCCGGCATTCGCCCAGAATCCCCAAGCTTCGTCCGACGGCCACCGCACTGCATCGCCTCATCGGCACAGCTACCGCTCGCCCGGCTTCCAAAAACATACACAGATTGGCACCGCGGGCGCTGGATGAGGCACGACCACTCTCTTTTTGGAACCCTCCCGGAGTACAAGGCGTTGATTGCATGCAACCATCTATGCATGGCTTGAGCGAAAAGCATTCAATGAGCGGCGAATTCTATTCTATACCCCTGGCCAGAGTCTACGTTATGACATCTAGACTGGCCAGTCCATCTTCTCACGCATCGGCTTGGCATAAGTTTGACGAACCTGTTTGATTGCATTGTAGGCATCCTGCGCTTGCGCGATGCGTACTGGAAGGAACAACATTTTTGCTGCAGCATTGGTACGGGCGTTTTCTGGGTAATCACATTGTGCCATATACGATCTTGGCATTGTTTACTGGTGGCGCGATTATGCGCGTGCGAATGCGGAGTGCTTTGTAGAGGTGGTGTTTGAGAGTGTGAAGAGTACTACGGATTGGGATGGGTGGACTTGCATGGCCGAGCTGCATGGAAGCTGCATAGGCTGCTGCAGTAGAAGTCGAGCCAAAGGTGGAGATAATGTACGAAGTCGCGCGATGTAGTCTTCAGAGACTTGCGTTGCCTACTGTTGGTAGATGGCTTTAGAAGCCGGTGTAGGTATCTGATCATTCTCCCACTCTCTACGTCATCTTTCGTCTTGTTTACGGTGCGAGGGACGCGCTTTCCTCCTCATCTTCACCGTGCTTGGCACTTGCCGCTCGCTAGCACTCACCTTCATGAAGCTTCCCTCACGTCCTCCGCAGTGGAACCTCACTTTACTGCGTGTTTTCTTCCTTCCCTCAATTTTCTCACGCAGGCGCCGCATTCGCTGCGTGCTGCCCAAGGTCATCGCTTTGCAGCACTACCTGCCTTATGGGAGGCTTCAGACGGTAGCTCTCTTCGCCCGCATCAGCCGGTGCTTGTACCTGTATCACGCGTCGCGCGCACGATGGATCCCGCCACTACCAAGGTCATACTTGGGCTCCATCGCGAGGACCTGAACGCCGCCCTTCAGAGCCTGTCCAAGACCAGCCCTGACGACCGCGAAGGGGCCGCTTTCGCCGCGTTCCGCAATCAGCTACTAGGGGAGTGGAACAAGTTACACGATGCAGTCTTTACGCTCATCATCGTTCGGGAGGACAGCGCTGTCCGAGAGGCCTTTACGCAGCACTCGAGTGAAGCGCAGCAGGTTGATCGTGAGTATAAGCGTTTTGACCATGGTACATGAATTCATACTAACACTATGAAGGTAACTACGAGATGGCTTGCAAGTTTGCAGGTCTGCCGGTGCCTCAACGCCCTGCGGTAACGAACGATCACGGAACACACAGAATCGCAGCAGACAAGCAGATCGAAGACGTAAACGGCAAGACGCTCGCTCAAGAAGCTTCCCGCTTCAGTTCCGTTGGGACGCAAACCGCACCTACCAAAACCAAGCCTCCTGCCGGAAATAGCTGGTGGCCCGCCTTGTCACTGAACAGTTTCAAGCGTGCGCGCGTTGATGATGCGGATAATGAAGACAAAAACTCACCTACACCATCTACGCATGAACCTACACTCAAGAAACGGGCTGCCTACGACGAGCCAGCAACACTTAGGGAGGAATATGACGGGCGAACCAAGCGAATCAAGCTTGGGCCAGAGGCCTGCACTACTCCTACCAATGCTACCGCCAATGTCGCCTCGCCAAACACCATTGGTCAGGAAGATCATGGCCTCCCTGCAGCGGGACCCGGCACTATCATTTCCCGCAAATGTTCTGCGTGCTTGGACATGCACCCCGTCCGAGACACCATCCAGCTTCAATGCAAAAGCACTGGCGATGCTGAGGCTCATGCATACTGCCGCGATTGTCTCATTCACCTATTCGAAACTTGCATCACAGATTCTTCGCAATTCCCACCACGATGCTGTAATCAGATATTACCGGTCTTTGCCTGCATCCCTTATTTGCCGCCCACGCTCTTCGCTCGGTTTATAGCCAAGAGAGAAGAGCTGGAGACGCCAAACCGAACGTATTGCAGTAACGGTCTCTGCTCAAGATGGATCAGACCTGTCAACATCGTAGCGAACGTCGCGACATGCCCAACATGCATCCACAAAACCTGCGAGACTTGCAAACGTGGGCAGCATGAAGGTCTCTGTCAGGCCGATATGGACGTGAAGAAGCTCATGGATGTGGCTAAGGAGAAGCAATGGCAGACTTGCCCTAATTGCAACGAGATGGTAGAGCTCAAGGGTGGCTGTCTTCACATCACGTACGTACCTACGTCCGTTGCACCTCTGATACGTTCAACTGACTTTTTAGATGCCGCTGCCAACACCACTTCTGCTACCGGTGCCAGGCGCCATGGCGTACATGCAATTGCGGAAAGAATGCGCGCCGCATTGCTGATACACCAGTACCCGCCAACATTGCCGCTCCAAACGTTGTCAATCCTGCGAATATGGCACCGCCCGTACCAACGTTCTTTGCTGCATCAGTGGCCGCCAACAATTCTCCCATCTACCCTGCAAATCCCGCTCACGTCGTACCTTCTCCTGTCCCACCGTTTGGCTTTGCACCCGCAGTGTATGCCCCAGTACCAAACGCTCCCGTCTTTCAGCCTCAACTGCATGTTCCAGTACAGTTTCAACCCTTCGGTCAGCATCCGCAGCAACACCATCCTCGAGCCGATGACCACGAGTTTAGGCGATTGTATTGGAACAAGGGCGTCGATACCAAATGCGATTACTGTAAGAACCAGGACCGCTGGGTCCATGGCTGTAACTTTAGAGGATGTGATGTGCGGGTTTGTTGGAAATGCACGAAGCGTTACCATCCCAACTCCACTACAACCTGAAAGCCGCCTTCTAAATTCCGAGCGCAACACATGTCAGGCGGAGAGTTTCAGTCTACATGTTGCTCACAGCTAGGTCGTATACTACCTGTATAGATAGCTAGCTATCTGAACGCACATGCATGGCACTCTCCAGAAAGCATGTGTATAAATACAGCATAGCATAGTAGTTAGTCGACATCGGATCTCAATTCCGCTAATGCAACTCTCACTTCACAAAACTCTATTTCTTGACCGCAACAACAAACAACCTCGGGTATCCCAAAAGCACCTTCCCATCCACCAATTCCGGATACTCGCCTTTCAGCCCCTTCTCATACTCCTCCAGAAATGCTTTCTTCGCCTCTTCTCCTTCAATTCTATTCAAATAAGGCTGCAACCCTGTTCCCTTGACCCACTCCACGATCGCGCCCGCATCCTTTAGCACATGCATATACTTTGTCCTCCACACATTTACCAAACGCGCCTCCCCAACCAAGGCATTGTAAAACGCACTCGGCTCTTCAATAGGATCCAAATCCGGCCTTGTCGTGTCTTTCAAATCTCCAATTTGCGTATCCGCGAAGGAGTCCGACCACGCTTTCCCTGATTGCAACGCCGTCTCGCGCATCATCCGGTGCGACGGCTCGTGGTAGTTATCCGGGACCTGGATAGCTAGCACGCTTCCGCTCTTCAGCGAAGAAAACAGGCGTGCGAGCGTGGGTATGCGTTCGGAAGACCGGAGCCAGTGGAATACCGCGTTGCTGAAAAGTACATCCACCTCCCCATCCGCTTTGAACGTCGCTAGATCCCCTCGCATGAAATCCACACTGTCTTTCCCTTCGAACTCCGCGTTTGCCTTCTTCAGCATATCAGGACTGCTATCCATACCCGTGATGCGCGCTGAGGGAAACGCATCGAGGAGGACTTTTGTACTATTTCCGGGTCCGCAGCCTAGATCGTAGATACGCGGGGTTGAGCTAGTGATATTGGGTTGGATTTGAGAGACGAGGTCGTAGACGGCGCGGAGGCGCTCGTTGTTGAATTTGAGGTATTGGGTTGCGGACCAGTCTTTCTTTGGTGGGGGTTCTGTTGACATTTTCGCGGTTGTTGCGCTGAAGGGCTGGTGTTGTTGCTGATCGCTGTAGAGTCTGGGTTGGAATGCTTTTTGGATTTGAGGGTCTGTGAGTGTGTGCCGTTGGTTAAATGAACACGATGTTGTGACGATGGTTGATAAACTGCGGATATGTATCCGTGGGTGCAGTGTGGCTAGGCGGGCCGATTGAAGGGTTCGCGAACTGCGGAGGAGAGGGCAGGTCATCTGTGCAAAGTCTTCGCATCAGCTAGGAAAACGGCTAATGATGCTTGAGTAATGCTTGAGGTGGTTAAGTATGTACAAGGAGTGACAAGCTCTTCGGAAAAGCGCCGTGTCGAGGTCTGGAAGCTGAGCTCAGCGAATCAGATTGCATGTGTGGGGTACGAGGCTAGCGGATGGGGTTAAGATCGGCGTATGTCCGGGGTGACGCATCGCCGAAGAGGTGTACAGCCTGCTCTCTGTAACCGGAAAAGACACTTTGCAATTTCATGAAGCACATTTTCGTAGTGGGTCAATTTTACTTTTGGTTTATCAAAGAAGGCTCAATGTAGGTCCCGATATGTCTTGCTCCCACACATTACCTCCTACGGGAGAGGACACAAGGAAAGCTATCGACTCTGAAAACGAACTTGCTGAAGGCGCAAAGGCACTAGAATCGTGGAGGCATCATTCCCGGGGGACCCATCTTATCACCACCATGTTTACCTGCCGTGATCTCGGGATAAGCCGTGCTTCCCTCGTCGTATTCGATCGGCTCTTCGTCATTGTCTGGCACGCGCGCGCTGGTGCTGAATACCTTGACTGAAAGAGTCTTTTGGTCTGGGAACTTGACACGTTCGCCATTTTGCTAAAAGTATGCGTCAGTTTTGATATCAGTCATGACGTTGAGTAAACTCACATCATAGACATTCCAGGTCAACTTCTCGGTCAAGAAAGGCACGACGTCGCTGGGCTCCAGGCTCTTCAAGCTCTTGTTCTCAATCTGCTCGACGAGATAAGACGTGATACTTGTTGTGCCGTTCATTAAATTTTCCGGTATTGAGGGATCTTTCTCGGTGTGCACGTCGTCGAGTCGCTCTGGCATTAACATCATCCAGCTTCCCACGTCGACGACTGGATCGGAGTTGAACATGCCGCCGAGCGAGTACTTGACGATGAACGATGGTGGAAGTTTGGAAGCAATGGCTTGTGTCTCGATGATCCAGTCGGTGTAGGTGCCGTTGCTGCCCTCGAGTGTTTCTCCGAATGGCGTTGGTTTGGTACTCATGACTGTGACTTTGCTCTGTGCGCGGGCGCGTCCACCGTACATCCTTGCAATGCTCGCTGTGACAGCCGTCTGATAGGCGCTATCAGATGCGAATTCCCAGCGCTTCGTTTCCGGATAGGTATAGCCTAGGACGGTGGTGTTGCGACAGTCGTTGAAGGTCATGAATTTGCCGGGATCCTTTCTGAACGGGAGGAGTTCGGTGTTTGCATCGACATCTTGATAGTCGTCAAGATAGACGTTGCCGTGCGGTCCTATGCTTGACTTCTCCATCCAAAGATCGGGGTGCGCTCCCTGGTATAGTGCGAGTAGGCGGTCGACGTTGCTGACGATCTGTTAGCCTGTGTGATTCTAGGGATTAAGCGCACTTACGCATGATGTAACATGAAGAGCGGTTCGTATGACGAATACTCCAGCGGCCACATATGACCAGGTGTAGACGTGGTGGGATCGTAGCCACCGCCGATAACGCCGTGTATCCAACCATGCGGGTCTTCTAGTATACTAGAGAATCGCGAGAAAGTGCTCGCTCGGAAAGCAACACCAACCTGAGATATCAGATTGGTGGACTGGCCATTGAAGGCACCGACGAACATCGATTGTCGCGATGTCGCATTGGCGGTCGCGTCACTCGGCCATCGTATCGTCGAACTCATAGAGGCCCACTGCATGATAGATTAGAAAGTTTGTACCACGATCTTCCAAGATTGAGACCGGTTACCTTTTGATCAAAGCCAGCGGGTATGGGGTTGAACTTGTAGGAATACAACGGATTTGACACCACTGTTAGACTGCCGTCCGTATCCGTCACCGCTATTTCGGGGGCTGTAAAGAAGTCGGGCACCGGGCCAATAGTGGTACCTTGGGCCCAGTCCCAATAAGGTATGCGGAATTCATTTGCTGCCTTGAGGTACCGTTCGATCTGATCGGCGGGTGCTTTCTTAGCGATATCATAGACATGGCTCGAAAGTGCTTGCTACGATCAGTCAGTACCATCGTCGTTATTCCTTCAGGGAAAGGCGAAGGCACGAAGGTATGAAGCTCACCTCGAATAGCGCAAGGTACGGGCGATGCCAACCCAGGAACAACTCATTGCCATGTGGGCAGTAGCCAGCCTTTCCAATCTTCTCTTTCTTTCCTGGTGCATCACCCCAAATGTCGTAAGGCCTTCCATGTATCGCTGAGCAGTATGTTAGTAAGCGATGAGCCATGCTGATAGTGGATGTGCTCACATGCGATGCCGTAGAATGAGTTGGGGTTACTCTGCGGAGTTGTATGAAGTTGTCGAAGCGCCAAGATGTAAAGACTCCATTGGTCTGGCGCGTTGTTCTTCAAGTCCCTCACCTCTCGGCGCACATAGACGTTGCCTGCGAAAAGTTAGCGGTGATCGATACACGTGCGGCCTAGCTGAGTACTAACCGTTTTCATCTCGTGACTTCACTCCGGTCACTACGCCCACTGCAGACTGACGGACGGTATGGGAGCTCTTCCTTTCCGATACAGGCGTACACGTGACGTATGATATCAAAAGCCACGGTATTAAGTATCGAGCGAGCCACGGGACGAGCATGGTGAGCGACTGTCGCAGCGAATGAAGGGTATATCTGCGGAGAGCCGGTCAGAGGGGAGCAAAGAGATATATATTTGTATATCAGAGCCTGCAGTCCCTGCGTGTAAAGCAGACTAGCCACATTGAGGTCATATGCGGTGAGAGTGAGTGACGATCGCGCCTGTCATCCACAGTCGAAATACTAGGTTTAGGAGCCCAAAATGAAGGCAACTGGATGTTGCATAGGGACGCGATACGACAGCAAAGCGTATTGCGGACCAGAGTCGTTGGTCTCCCAGACCTGTGTTGTTGTTGTGATGACAAGAGATGTGGTAGCGAAAACGTGCCCTGAACCAAGGAATTTGCTGGGTGAAATGTGACGCACTCACCTTGTGACGCGATGAACACGATGAATATAGCACGAAAAGTGTGAGTTGCCCGCTGTTATGGGAGGATATACCGCTAATGCAGCAACGCAGTATGAGAGCAGGCGTGGCGGGTGCGTTGTAAGTTTACCCTCCCGCTGGCGTTCTTCTAGAAGCGGAAAAGAGGGATGCGACGATGACAGTTGGTGACTTAAATTACAGGGCGAAAGCTAGCGATTGAGATAGAAAGACTGCGTGTGATGTTTGAGTCGAAGGTGCATCGACGAAAGAAGCATCGTCAAGGGGTTTGTTGACGTGCCAGAAATGTGCTTTTCTGATCACGACCTCGTCTCTCCCGCACCGGTGCGGTAGCGATCAAGTCGTAGGAGCACAGAATATAATCGCTCCAAGGTTTTCGCGAATAGCCGTTGTGTGAAACATCAGCCGGATACATTACCGCAAGCAATCTTACATAGTTTCGACCGCGGTTTCGGAACGCATGCTGGCTGTCAACGCCAAATATGGTTCGCACGACGCATAAGCTTTTCAGCCTAATCCACAACTCAATATACAGACAAAAGATGGTAGGGCCATTTGTCGGCGTTCGGTGACACCCGCGGATCTCTGCATTCAATGTTGCACGACGCGTGGAGCAATGCGCAACATGCTGTGTACCCCGCGCGGCTACATGTCTGGCTGACGGAGATTGCCCGACATGAATCCACCGAAGGAGATGTCGCGATTAGAGTCTCCACAATCCTAGCTTTTCCGTTAATCTTTCGTGCCGTTTGAGGCTCGACAAAGCACCGACGCGCCTAGCGGATGCTTACGGCGACCGACGGCGGGGAATAAGGTAAACTGATTCGCATACATGATAGTGGAACGTTGCAAGACTCCGGAAATAGTTGATTGCTGATTTGAATGGTTCCTAATCAAGACGCTAATACAGGTCATTCGTGCCGCTAGCCGTAGCTGACTGCGTTGTGCATCCTTATACAAGTATTCCGCATAGGACCACATGCGCAAACCGCCTGGCGGTCATCTCGTTCATTACATCGTGTGTATCGTCAAAGTGCCAGTCGGAATACTGGAAGTACCCATTCCAGGGTTTAGATGTCGTTATATCCGAGAAGTGTCTTTGGCAGATCTTTATCCGCAACCGCCCAGGCCCAGGCACGACCTGCCTCGCCACACCATAGGGAAGATGGGTCTTCCGATTTCTCAAGCATTCCGTCTTTGGCCATCGACTTGATCTCATGGCCTGTGGTGTAAGTCAAGAAGTGTTCGAATTGCTTTCCGTCCAGAGCGAGAGCGTTTCCAGTGATACCGTGACAGAGACATGGCTCCTTGGTGAGCAGGCCTCTTTCCCAGATGCATTCTCTAGCTTTTACGACAACCCGATCAATGCGATCTTGAAGTCCCGGGAAATATTTTCGGATTGAGAGAATGGAGTTGACCACACCCGGTGCTCCGTGACAGACTTCAACGAGCTTGTCACGACCTGGTGGGAGAGATGAAGGAAAATTGCCGCTCTCGTATTGATAGCTGAGCAAGGCGCCTAGTTCAGCCTCCAGCTTAGACGCCCAGGAAGGGTCGGTGAGCACGATCTGTGTAATGATACCGATTGCGCCATGAACGGCGCCCACGTATGCCTTCCCATGCCACTTCCAGGGACGCGGGCTTTGCATGATGTTCTCGATGACCTCATCGGCCGTGTCTTCGATGAGCTCGGTCACGTCCTTGTTATGAGCGAACGCCCCGCGCACCAAGCGGAGGAGGTACAGATAGCCAGCGCGACCGTATAGCCATTCGTTGGAGGTCTCGTCCTCAAGCATGACTGCAGCATGATCGCATAGCTCCTTTACAGTGTCGGGGTCTTGTGCAGTCACGGCGTACAGGGCAAGCAGAGACATGATGTCGTTGGAGATACCGCATTTCTTGGGAGATGGTGGCGGGAACTCCTTGATATGAGCCTGAGCTTGTTCGATGTAAGCCGCAGACCATGTATTCAAGGGGTAGTCGTCCAGCTTAAGATCCGGGTATATGTTGTGCAGGGCATAGAAGAGGTAGGCTACTGAAATCGGTCCGTAGTATAGACCACCGCCTGGGGGTACATGATGCGGAGGATAGTCGGTAATCAATCGATCCAATGACGCTAGCAGTTGCTTGTGAGGATCTCGTCGTGCCAACGGCGCATCATTCCGGAAATAGCGGGGTATCGAGGGAGTCGGTGCTGCTTGTGTTGCCGAATCTGCAGGCGGCGCGCCGTCTTCGGACATGATGATAGGAGTATATTGAGGCGAGTTGATTCAAATCTCTCGTTGGAAAGCGAACGGGTAAAGTTGGCGCAGATTTAGGCATGCGCGAGTGACGGAAAGGTGTGAGATCGTAGCTGCCCGACTGTGACGTCAGCGGGGCTAGTCGTCGATGATTGGTCAGCTGCGGCGGTCGCAGGCTAGAACGAAAATTGGCAAACATCACACCAATAACTCCATGTGCTGCGCTGGCGCAATCTCGAAGTTTCTAAGCTACCTGAGCTACGGGGTATCTAGGTGTTATGGTACATCTCCTTCTCGTCCGATGCTGTGATCAGCATGACCAAATTGACTCATAACATTCTTACGTCTAAATCCGACGACCTGCGTCTCGTACAGTTACAATGTTCATCACATCTCGCTGGTTTAATATATACCCAGCGACTTCTGTTGTAATATGATCATGATTGAAGAAGGGACTAGCCGTGGGAAGTACGGCCTGGCCATGGTATGGGCTCAGCGGGAAGCTCAGTTAGATGTGCCGGCGAGCCGTTGCGATGGATTTCATGCTGCCCTATCTCTCGACTGTCTAGCTGGGGTGGATCTTCTGGTTCCGTGATCGAGTCTGCTCTGTAGAGTGCCGCTATTTTCTGCTGGAATTGGGTGGAAGCTTTCCCTGGATGCAGTCAGCACTGTGTACCGAAGATCGAAGCGTGACGCGTGGGCTTACTTGATAACTGCGATGTCATATCGTCACCGACCAAAGGAGAAGGGTATGTGGTTGCTTTGTATACCTTCGTCCGCCGTCTCTTTCTTAGGTATAGGAGTATAGAGGCGACCAATGCGCCCAAAATGACTGTGCCTAGCACTGCGCCGACCACGGGCGCTATGATCGACGACTGAGCGTGGCCAGCTGATACTGGTGCGTTGATAGACGGTGTCGCTGTGGCTGATGAGTTCGGTGTAACAGTCTCCAACGAGGGCTCTTCTAAGCTGAATGTAGACCCAGTATCAAGGGATGACCCGGAGGCCGTTGAAGAAGCTATTGAAGAAGTCGTCGCGGTGATCGTCACCATCAAGACCGATGTATTTGGGGTAGGCGATAATGTATGTGAGGCTACTCACGGTCAGCTCTTACAAACGCCCAACGTACTGGTTGTACTTACATCGCCCTGGGGTCCGGTCCTTGTCGGCAGGACAGGTACTACCTGGCATGCATGGGTCTATCGTGCAGCAGCCACGGAAGTTGTTGCACTTGTAGAATACGCCTCCCTCCGGGCATGAGCCATCGTCTCTTCCTCGAAGTGCGGGTATCATTGTGTCAGACTAGATTTCTTGGTCGATGAATGATGACGATAGGACGAGAGCGACCAGATATGAAGGTGCGACCACGACCATGATCAAGCCTCATTAGCATGTTTGCATCAAACCGTCATCAGACGCAAAGGTAGTGCTGTCGTAGGCCGCCGAGGCGACGCAAACAAAGCGGTGCATCGCAAGGGTGCTCCTTACTGCGCTTCCACGTGAAACGCTCTGCCCGATGCAGCCATGAGGTCAAAGAATTATTGGCGCTGCTCTTTGTGTGTCTATAAATGTCGTACGCGAGCTCAACTCATCTTCAGGGGTCGCGTGTGTCGATGTGTTGATGGAATCGTGGAACGACCTCGGATGCAGAAGGTAGCTAGCCCCACCGGCGGCCCCGACTTCCCCTTCTCGCGTAAGAACTAATTACACCATTACCAACAACGCCACAAATATTGCGAACGTCGCCCAGCCATCGCATTCCACCCGGTTCATTGACAGTTCTCACATGATGCATCCGGGGAGATTCGTGCACGCGTAATCGCACACATTTCGATGGTCTGGCCAGGTCATGTCACGCGACTACGCGTACCGATTCCCAACAGCACCACACGACGCCATCTCGGCCTGGCTGTGTCGACTACACGATGGCTGCATCATAAGGAATGCGAATGTCGAGAGAACATCTATTACGGGGCAAGACGCAACACTCTGATAGATACTGACAGATCTTTAGATACCGTAGACAAGCTTCTCAGCGCTGACAGGTCGCATCCACGGTTCAGTGCGGATGACACGTCTTTCCTCCATACCACCCGCACCAAGTAGCTGGAAGCCATCCTGAACCACGCTTTCCAGACCACCCGGCATCAATCTGATAGGAGCTGTACTCAACGCGGAAACCATACAACCGTTGAGCCATGCGTAAAACGCCACCGTGAACCCACGAGCAGCTGGCGATCGTCGCACAGTAAAGCCTTGGTATTGGACCTCCTCACCCAAACCCTCCCACACTGCGCCGTAGCTTGGCTCAACCGAGATGTTGGGCGCCTTCCAGGCTCCGCCTTCGCGAGATCGGACAATGGCTATCTTTCCGTTGCGTGCGAGGGTTGAACACGTGCGCTCGACGGAGCTACCCTCAGAGACGCAATCGAATGCATAATGAATGCCAACATCTCCTGTGAGCTCTCTGATCCGCTCTGGCCAATGGAGGTCGCGATAGTCCACGAGAGCGTCATACCCGTAGGGCTCCGTTTTGAGAAACTCCCATCGAGCTTCGCTAGTGACGCCGTACAATCTGATAGCTTTGCCGCTGGATCTGGCGCTGAGTCGTACCATCTGCGCGGCATATAGTGCCACTGATGTCGATGCGCCGTAGATGAGAACGTTGGTTGTACCAGGTCCATCTGCTTCGTTGTGTGTGGCTCTCCAGTCCGGGTGCTCTTGATAGACTTGGTCGCGATCGTAAGCAAACGGAGCTTGCAGGCCCAGCCGGTACCATATCGCTTGCGCGGCCGTGAGGGCTACGAGACTCACACCAGCAGCCTGCTCCATGGCGACTGGCTTAGATATTTTCCAGACTAGATCCCACGGTGCGACAACAAGTTCTGCGAATGCACCTGGCCGGTCATTGACGCTGCAAGCTCCTTGCAAAAATCCTCCGACCTCATCGCCGACGCAAAGGTTCGCCTCCACGGGCACATCGCAACCTGCTTCGACTACTACCCCAGCGAAGTCGCTTCCAACGGTGCGCCCGGAGCTGCCCAGTGGATGCGCAACGTATAGTGGGTCAATAGGGTTTAGCGCTATGGCTTTTACCCTGATAAGCAACTCAATTGACGATGGTACCGGCTGCGGTATATCGCGAATATACGCCGTTCGAGCTTCGGCTGCGAGCACGAGGGCTTTCATACTTGCTGGCGCTCGCTCGTTTGAGTATGGGTAAGCTGATTGAACTCGAGGCAGGTCGGAAAAGTGGATTTCCTCGGATGTCTTTGGGCTGATGTCTGATGAGACAGCCTCTATCATGGCCCTTTCGTAGGGGAAAAGAGGTGTGCATGTAATGCTGAAGGGCGTGTATTACTAATGCCGTGCAGGGTAAGCGATGTTCAGCTGGGAGCAACCTATCATAGGTAAGGCGATGTAATGGTACTTTCAAGTCGAACATCGATTACGAAATGCTTTTCATCAGTCACAGGCGAATTCATGGAGTCATGCTCTTCGTCTTAGGTTTTCCAGTCGGCTACCCGTACGGTACTGTAGACAACTAGCGCCTGCACTGTGCGAAGTCTAGGACTATGTCGTGGTCCGTCTCCATTCCTTCTTAATCTCTTCATTCATCCACCTGATCACTCATCACTTCATACATTCGTCGGATTGTAACGCCGAGTTCCCGCCTATATCGACGCACCACGACTACGACTCCGGGTTTGAAGATGACTCTGACGTCGCGAGTTTGACGTACGAGGCCTATGGGTACGTGAATACCTCCACGCTGCAGTATGTCGCAGCACTGGAACCAGTATGTAGGTATTGAAGAATACGAGGCTCGGCCCGTTGGCGGCACGAAACATCCGAAGCACCTCCACTCTATGTGAAGATGTGTTGTGGCTTTGCGCACCCACAACCCCTGTCTAGTCCGTTTCAAGACCATCCAGACCGCAAATCTCCTGAGACTGCGTAATTGGTGGTACGTGTTTGTGGATCACCTAATCCTTCTCATGTAAATGGAAAAACACATTACCGTGATGAGTGGCAGGGGATAAGGAATGGGTTTGGTGTTGTATAAGATACTCGATCGCTGTGGCTAAGCAAGCCCGCCTCACCCCATACTCACAACACCATACGCTCGTTACCTAGCATCTACGTCGAAATGATGCTCACCAATTGCTCCATCGCAGCAGCCTTCATGCTAGCCACAGCTGTCACCGCAACCCTCGACCCCGCAACCTCCAACACAAACGGCAGCTACCCATCAGCCCCATCCTGCTCTCGTAAGCTCCCGCGCGTCCCCATCCTTATCTTTCCATAAACTGACCCCCTCATAGCCATTAAAACAAGCAAAGCCATCCAAGCCGCAGAATGCAGCCACAACACTCGCACGTCCGGCCAGACCTTTGCCGTCTTCACCCAAGACCACCAGTACGACGGTAATCACGGCTACCCGTACGGCACGTGCGAAGCGTATAACTGCGCGCCAGGAAGTGCGATGAAGAAGAAAGCGGGGACTTGGACGTTCTTTTGGGCGAAGGCGGGGGTTGAGGGAGAGGAAGAGGGCGATGGGGCTGGGTGCATTAAGAGCCCGAAGGATGGGAGTTGTGGGTGTGAGAACTCGGATGGTACGTTCGTGTACAAGGGGACGAACTGCAAATAGGCCCATCAAGGAGTGTTGAGGGTTGGCCTGGCCAAGGCGTCCTTTCCATTCTTCCGGTGTATATATTGGAGCTGAATCTCATCAGCATAAATTCATTGAACTTGGATAAGAACTGTGACATCGTAAAAACTTTCTGATGACGATACTCCATCTTTGTTATGTTGTGAGTAGTAGGTACTTCCCGCAGGAGCAAACACATGCACTCTTTCTCGTAATCTTTTGGCACTCTTCGTCCGCATAATGCAGTTGCTGCAACTTTCACACAAACTCTGAACGAGCTCAAAGTAGCCTTGAATATACAGCCGAAGACATATGATCGACTGTATCGAACTTTTGAATCTCTTTGCTCCCATGATAATGTTCCCAGCAGTCTTTTGCGCATTATAAGATTTGCAACTTCCACGAGACAGCGCCATGTCGCTGGGCATGTTGTGTTTTAGAAGAGCAGAGACACAGAAAGACATGGGGACAGTTTTTATTGGTTTTGGTCTCGCGCCGAAAGGTTTTGTTGGAGGAATCAGGAAGTACGAGGATGCAAGGGGCATTTATATATGCCTGTATCAGCGCTTTGACTATTCTGGCAGCACGCAAGAGCACATGCCTACGCTACTTTTCTAGAACATACGTTCATTACCGGGCCCTTTCATGGTTAAGGCGAGTCATAAAGCAACGAAATGCGGCTTTTTCGGTGGCAGGTCAAAAGTTCCCATTCATGGCTTGCGAACGAGCTGCCCAAACGACATCCCAATCCTATTGGACAGCTTTTGGTACAGAGCAGAAAACACATGTTTTTAAATTCTCGATTTTTGAGAAGAGAGAGCCAGCAACATGTGCACATGTGCTCTTTGTTTTGATATTGAGCCTTGGAAGTTGTTGGAGAAAGTGAAGAAGATGACGGAGAGTAGAATTTTATAGTAAGGTCTTCGCCAAGATCCAGGACACAGTCATATTTTTGCCTGGCAGATGGTTTTAGAGGTTACTGTTACGATCGCTCCGAGGACGCAACATGCGCCAATCGCGAACGTGTCGGAAGTAACTACTCTCAGTCGCGGGAAGATTCAACATGAAGGGTGCAAGACCACATTTTGGTAAGATCCGGTGGTCTTCTTCCCAACATCACAACAATCATCCTCTTGTTTAATCGAACTCGAACAATCATGAGCTTTTGGATTCCGTATTTGCGTGCCGTCCAAGAAGAAACATCAGCGCAGCCGAAACATCCGGGTCCGAACTCTGCTTTTTGGTGCCAGACGAGACAGCAGACATGTCTTGTTCGACTTTCAACTTTGATGAATGGAGAATAGTTCTGGAGAGTAGTGATGAGCAAAGATCCTGCTGTGCAGGACATGGCTTTTATAGGCGGAAGCACCAGGTGGTCGGGGGTGCTTCAGCGCCGGCCGAACAACATGTGTCAGTGGTCGGGCGATTTTGGAAGCAGCACATGCGGTATAGAGTCTCCGCGTTCTGTAATTTCGCTCAGAACAGCCGCAGTCGCATGTTGCGATCAGATGCATCTTTGATGGGCCGTCCTCCGGCGAAGTCACCGAAATAATGCGAGAGTGTTTTGGAAGTTTGCCGACCGGAAAGAGCGGGGGGCTGGACATGATGTAGGGCGTACTCATTTTGAGAAGCGCAGACCGAGCAGCGGACATGATTTGCCACTGCCAGTCTTTTTGGTAATGAGAATGTGGGAAGTGATTTGTAGAAAGGAAGAATGGAGTGCGAAGTTGGAGGCCTTATATAGACACTTCCGAGAGGCGTGCACGTGCAAAAGTGCGCTGGACGAAATCTCCAAAAAGATATCGATGTGAAGACATGACGCTAGTTGCGGCACATGGAAAAACAGATAAGCAGCAATATGTCATTTGTGCATTGCAAGTGGCCGAATCTAAGTGCCATCCAGCGCATGTAAAGCCTGATCTATGGCCACTCATGTGTTCAATATGCCGTGATATCACTAGCTCTAGTCGTACACTGAGATCAAGAACAGTCCCCCATGATCATGCCTGAGGTATCTTCCCTCTCATCCCAGGCGGCAACAGCGCATCCGCTTTCCTCGCAGCATCCACCTCCTCTGCCGTAGGCTCCTGCGGTACATCGACGATAACGCTGGGGTCTTTCGAGCGTGACGCAAGCATCGCGGCGCGTTTCTAGTCGTGTATGTCAGCCTGGTACTCTCAACCCGGCATACCATTCGCTTGACCCTGACGCATGTTTACGCATCGCAAAACGCGAGGATTTGGGAACGGATATACACATACCTCTCTAACCCCCCTCCCAGCATCCACTCCCTCACCCAGAAACTCCGCATCAATTCCCTCGCTATCATCCGGCGACCGCATGGAGCCTCGCACTCCTCCCAAACCATCTCCCGTTGTACTCATACGCCTCCTCAGCTCCTCAGGCGTTATTGCGCCGCCGTCCAGCTCGACCGGCGCATCATTTATCGCGGGTGTGTTCGTGTCGATCAACGGTGTTTGGCTAGAGACTGCTGGACTAGTCTTATGCGGGAAGGTACAGGTGCGGAAGACGGGGGAGATAGGGTCGGAAGTGGGAGGAGAGGAGGTTGCAGTGAGAGGGGGTGGGGAGATGGTGGGTGGTGGGTTTGTCATTGTTTGTATGGCGGAAGGAGTCGCGATGGCGGTATCTGAGGTACGAAGACGTCTTGGTAAAGGGTTGTTGGTAGTAGTAATGTGATGCGCACTTCTCAGCCTCGTCGCGTCGCTCTTACGGCTGTATGTCGAAAGGCAAGGTGCGTGACGAGTAGATGTCGCAGACGTACGTAGGCGGCACAGCTGCCTCTTGTGCAACCCAAGCCTCAGGCAGCCCGCCTTTCGCAGCCTCACGGCCAAACAAAAGCCCGCGAGCGCGTAAGCAAGTCGTGACCGCGATGACGTTTGACGCCCACGCGCCGGCAATTCAGGGTCCAGCGGTTGAAGTGGGGCAGCGACGCGGCAGCTGGCCGGGGTCGATGTCTTGGTATGCACCTTGATCGTCGCGTGCTATATCGGGATACGAGTTGGATGGAAAACGACGCAACAACACTAAGGATTAAGTTGGCGAAGAAGGCATGAATACACTGGGTATGTGTGGGTTTGAAACAAGCGCAAAGGCTGAGCTGAGTTCATTCATGTTTCCATCGCTGCGCGGGGCACATGGCTTGCTGCGCCTCCTTCCTCCCGCCCTTTTGTACATCCAATAGCTGACGGGTATCTAGCAACACCACCAAGCTTCGGCCCCCGAAAGTACAGACCATGCAAATACATACGGCGCTCAAGTTACATAATCATAGGCTCATTACCCGCTCGCAAACAACGTAAGAGCGCGAAGTACTAGTTAGACTGCTTCGGCATTAGGAATCCCATAGTGTACGCTTCACCAGAGTTCGTCTTCGTGGAATCAGCCTTGTTGCTGTCAGCTATCAATAACATGCAATGAATCGTGACCATCAGTACTTACGCCCATGTAGACATCCTGCCCGAACATGTTTGCTCGGTTGCCTTGGATAGGTTGCTGGTTCGGTGTCTGTCCTGTAGCTGGCATCCCGTTTTGCTCGGTTTGCATAGGCATGCTACCGAGATCCATGGGGAAGAAGTTGTTGGTCGCTTCCATGCCAGGGTTGGGGCCTTGGATGTATGAGTCCCATGCGTCCTAG